GGGGGGGGGGGGGGGGAGTGAGCAACGAAAACTAAGGGCTGAGCAAAGGTAAGCAAATGATCCTGCGTCGTTTGAGACCATTTTTATTTCCAGGTCAATCGGACAAAGTGCGGGTGCTAGGGTTAAAGACCTCCCTGAAAGCTCAAGTTAAATTGTTGATGGGTACATGACATGCCTGAGCAAAAAAAATTAAAGGGATTTTTGAGGTGAGCAAAGATGAGCAAAAGAGAAAATTGAAAATTTTAAAAGTCGGGGTATAACTTCACAGACATCCGAATCAGTGAAATGGGCAAGCAGTCCACGGACTGACCGGTCAAAAGTCTGAAAATAACGTAAAGGGGGGAAAATGTGCGTGATTCCTTTTCAAAAATTGAAGGCGCTCCCTCCCACTTTCCTCACTGAGGATGGGATTTTGATTAAGGCTAGTTTCACTTGAAATCATGAATACCTCAATTTTTACAAAAAATACACTTATGCACTTGTCCTCCGAGCCCCTCAAATCTAATTGCAGCCCTCCTTGGATGATGTTTAGAGACTACAATGCTGTCGTGCAACGCAAAAACGCCGTAAATGCCATTTTAACGTTTGTGGGAATAACGTATCATAGCAGAAAAACTTGTGTACTTTGGGACAGTGTTTTTACAGAATTCTTTCTCTAATACCATTATAAATTTAACATGAAAATTTGAGATGCTCAAGTAAGACAGCTTTTATTTTATAAAGTGATAAGTTCGAAAAAACGCGGGAGAATCTCGATGGATTTACGGCGTTCTTGCTTTGGACGGGAGAATGAACAGGAGTTGTTTTGGTTGAAGAATACAGGTACACCTGCGTAACACTGACATTCCTGCTGGCACGAAACTATCAATACTATGTGATGCACTACTACTTGCCAAGCACGCTCCTCGTTATTCTGTCTTGGGTGACGTTTTTCCTCGAGCCCGAAGCGTTGCCCGCTCGAGTAACTATTGGTACGTTCCTTCCTTTTAACCGCTTCAACTTCCTTCAAACGAAAATCCACCTCTTTTTACTCACGGTGCATCATTCCTCAACAAAGGATTTCCATGAAAAATCAGTGCATTTACCTGTTACACAAATCCAGTGGCGTGGCATGCTTTGCGATACATCGATTGATCTGCCGTTTAAACCTATGGTAAAGAATCGATAAACAGGATGTTCGTAACCTCGATAATCGTAACGATCGCCTTAATAATCGATTCTTTAGCATAGCTTCAAATGGAAAAATATCGATAATCGATTGTTCACACCACGCACAAATCGTCGTTTCCCCAAAGAAGAGCCGTAATCATTAAAAGGTTGCCAAATTGACTCAAACAATTCAATTTCTAATAGGAATGTACATGCGCAATTTTCCTCCAAGATTCTCCTGATTTCACATGAAATCAGAAAAAAAATCATTGAAATTTTCAATTAGAAATTCCCAAGATTTTCCTGGTAAAAATTTAGTTTGCCAGGGGAAATTTGGCAACACTGAAATGCAGTTACGTTCTTTCGTAAGGGGATGACGATAGGTCCAGCTGAGTTTGTTCCCATCTGCATCTGTATACCTCGTATGTGTATCACCAAATATTGAAATGTTTACAATAATGTGTAGCTATTATAGTTTTATCTTTTTATTTTATTATTTTTTTATATTTAACATATCAACAAATCCATCAAATTTCGCCGTTTACAGGCCGCATTGGAGTCCAGAATAATAAGAGCGAGATTATATCAGGTGGACTAAAGAATAGAAACGTGGCCTTTTGCTCTTTGCCCCTCTGCTAAAGCTCGCTAGGAATTTTTGAACGTGGGCCAATTTTTTCCTAGCGCTCGCTACAGGCCCGCCACAAGGGGGGAGATACTGGGTCCCTGGTACCGGGGCCCGGGCTCCGGAGGGGGCCCGTGTTACCCGTGAAAAACCACTACGAATTCACATGCAACCCTTGTTTCGTAAGAAAAAGTGAAAAATTTACCCCAAAATTTCCGCAAAAGGTGAATAGATTTTCAAAAACACGCTGGGGCACTGTAGAATTCTTCTTAAATTTTCAAAGAAGTATACTTTCTAGAAAATCTCTATCTATTTTCAATATTTTCAGTACAGAGGGATATTTTTAGTAACTGCGTTTCATTTTTTTCCGTCGTCAGATGCTAAGGGTCTCCAGTCTGGGCATCCTCGACTTCAATGGCTCATGGCTCAACTCCCTTGACATAGACAAACGAAGAGGGAGTCCAGGGGGGCCTGGCCCTCTTAGAACTGAAAATAGTATCATATGCCCCCCCCCCCTCAGAAAAAATAAACATTTTCCAGATGTTTTGAATGCAACAATTCGCAAGTATTTTGTGGTGACAGTAGAAAAAAAAATTATTCCGCAGAAATTGATGGAAAAATTCTGTATGGAAGCTGCAAAATGCGTCCAATTAGTCGTATAAATTCTAAAATTCCTCGGGGGATGCCCCTCGCCCCCCCCCCTCCCTGCTTGGAGCCCGGGTCTTAAAACTGGTACCAGGGCCCGAGATGTGATGTGGTGGGCCTGGCTCGCCAATACGATGAATTTCATTTGAATGGGTTGTTTTCAAAGGGGAACAGGTCCATTTCTTGTGGGTCTTAGTTAGCATACAAAGGTACAGCATACAGTTAGGTCCTTTTATACAAAGCAAGGCTCTTGCAAAAATGAACTTGTTCCCCTTTGGAAGCAACCGATTCATTTGGTTCCGTATGTAATTTAGAGAACATAAGTTGCGTGAGATATAACCATGAATTTATTGTGCCCTCTTTACATGACCCATCCCTACGGCCTGCATTAATAGCAGGGAACTACAACTGTTAAGATGTAAGAATATCAGAGTTGGAAAATGAATTGAGGGGCTATAAAGGAGTTGGTTAAGCTAATTTGATTTAGAAGTAATCAGGTCCCATGCTTAAATCAGAATATATGTACAATCGCCCTGGTAAAAATTGGCAGTAGAATGTGTGTTCCAAAATACTATAGACCTAAAGCCGGCTGTAAGATTTCCAATAGCTTCGATAGCCGGCTACACAATTTCTTATAGCCTTTTATAGCCGATGGCGACTAAGCAACAGCCAGACGATAAAGTTTATGCTAAACGTTACTAAATACGGATACTAGGACCTAGTGAGTTCTGTGACTACCGCTCTCTTTTTGTACCGTAGTATCTTCATTTATTTTGCGAGGAAAGTTCCGTATTCTCAAAGGATACCTGTCAGTCTTGATACGTTGGAGCGCCTTCAATTTCGTATTATGATGTACAACATCTCTGTTGCGAAATAGTTGCTTGAAGCCCCGCGGCGGCGAGCTAGTGCGACCAGCGCGACACGCCCAGTGGCGCCTACAAACCTAACAGGGATACTTCACGCATTGCGCAATGCGTGAAGTATCCCTGTTAGGTTTGTAGGCGCCAATGCGTCGCCGCTCCGCTTTGTGTTAGGCTCTAATATTTATTCTCGCGGAGTCAGCGTTTTTCAACTCATGATTTTGAAATGTTTGCACACTCTGCATGGACCATCTCATTTTAATTGATGAAAAAAAATATGTTTTAAAGGAAAATATAATGTGTGTTTCGTAAATATTAAGGTAATTCCGTATCAAACTTAATGATTTCCAAAGCACACGAATTTCTACACAATTTCTTATAGCCTTTTATAGCCAATGGCGATGAAGTGTAAAGCCCGGCGATAGGAACTATAGCCCGACTGTATACTTTTTTATAGCTTCGTATATTCCGGCTATATGATTTGCTCCGCTTTCTACAGTCAGCTATATGATTTTCAATAGCCCTCTTTAGTCGGCTATAAGAACTCCTATGGTATTTTGAAACGCAGCTCCTATCGCCAATTTTTACCAGGGCGCACATTATCACTTTATATATTTTTTTTCTTCAAAAGCAGGGAAATAGCATAATAATGTTAAGGCGCCAACTTAATACATGACCCAACTATAAAGAAAAGTGAATCAGTAATTACTCAGAACATGTCGATCTTTCCGTGAACTAAGATTCACATTAACCCTCTTGTTCTGAATTCAACTGAAAACCTACACTCACCATTCCATAACCGATTCTATGGAGCCTTTTTCGGTAATCCAGGATTGCGCGAAAGGTCTAAGAAAATATATGAGGATTGCACGAAAAAGAACCTTAACATCTGCTACAGGAATGCGCGAATTTAAAATGAAGTTAATTTAAGGTAGAAATTTGGCAAAACAGGGAACAATTGGCAAATAAACGCATTCTTTATGTTAATACTATTCTAGGTTAGTTTGTGGACAAGTCATCGATGTCTTACCTCCTGATGATAAATGATGTGAAAAGATTGAATAATAGGCGTGGATATAAAGAACTTTCCTAACTTTTCCCGGAAAAATATTTAATTGTGAGAAACAAGGCAACGTTGGATTGCTCATACGGCGTCAAAACACATCACTGCCGTGATAGCGAAGAGAGCCGAAGTGCAAAATTTTCGAAATCGAGTTTTCTTCAAAATTCGTCTAAACTCTTTCAGATGAAATTACTGAGACAGCGAAAACACCAAAATTCATCCTAATTTAATGAAAACGAGACGTATGAGAAAGCCGTAACTGCACAAAGAATGACTACAGTTTTTTTCAAGACAGCCGTAGGTGCATGAGAGCCAATGAAAACAGTGCTTTCCAGTAAAATGCCGCCCTCTTCTGCCAATTTCTAACCTGAAAATGTGTTTGTTGTGCATCCAAAACGCAACCACGAAAGCATGCAGAAGATGGCACTTACGGCTGTCTTGCCTAACAATAACCTAACACGAAACTGAATTTTACCTTTTTCATGTACTTTAAAATAAAATCGGTCGAGTTTTAATCCGCCAAATGATTTCTAGGAGTCTTCCGGACGAAAAGTGGCAATTTGACAAAGAACGGAGGCTTCTTTCAATAAAATGTTCCGGTCACAAGCTTCTGAGCCCGTTTTCTCAGAACTTCATTTTTGCAGTTACGGTTCTCTTCGCTATCACGGCAGAACATAGGCCTCTATTTTTCAATGCCGCGATTATTCTAATGCGAGTTCGAATAATCGCGCCAAACACACTGCAGCCGGAGTTAAACGTATTTTAGCGCCTGCGAGACATTATGAATACTTCACGCATTGCGCAAACAGTGCGATCGGCGCGGCGTGAGGCCCCGATTAGCGCCTGCACGACCGCATGAATACTTCTCGCATTGCGCCAAACGCAGTGCCGTCGCGTCGGTCAGTTTCCATGAAACGCATATTAGCACCTGCAAGACTGTGGGAATGCTGTAAGACTGCGTGTCATCATTATTGACTTTCTGCTCCAGTTTTTACCATAATGAAAGGGAAATATGTGTACTTTCCTTGTAACGATTCAGAAACGCGGATGATATTCATTTTATTTTTTTCATGACATCAAAAGAAAATAGAGCGAACTTCATCGGGTCGAAATTTCGATACTTTTTTTTGAGATCATTTAGGTAAATTCGCGGAAGCCATTCTGAAAAACTCTGTGTAGCTCTTTGAAAACATGTATTAAAAATAAAACACAAAAAAGGTGCATAACGCTGCAATCAGAGATGAATATACGCTATCTTTTGAGTGCACCCGTCGGATTTTGAATCCATTCATCGCTTAGAAAACTTGAACACAGTCGTTCTACAATTTTTACGTGTAGTTTGTTTTTTTCAGTGGTTGGCGGCCGCGTAGCAGCCACAGGTTCCTAATTCACTTTTTAAATGTCTATGAAAGCTCTTTGGGCCATTCGTGCTACGAGGGCTATCCATCGAAGAGAGCAGTGGCGTGGCGTGAATTGCGATGTATCGATTGTTCTGCCATTTAAACCTATGGTATAGAATCGATTATTAAGGTGTTCGCTGCGAACACCCTGTTTATCGATCCTTTTCCATAGATTTAAATGACTTAACAATCGATACATCGCAATTCACACCACGCCACTGGAAGAGAGATATGCCTATAAGTGAGGAGAGAATGAAATCTTCCATGATGTAGTTATCTACCACATACTACCAAGGTTGCCAGATTAATGTTTCCTAGTTGATTATTACATATTCGCGCAAAATGTGAGTTTGTGGTATCCGAAAAATTCGCGCAATCCTACGCATCTCCAAAAAGGTGAAGAAGGGGGCATTCGCGCATTCCTATCGCAGCCGTATTTTTTCGATGTGCCCAGGGGCGGAATATGGGCGCTTGATATTGTTAAGACACATTGTTCTAGTCTTAAACAGACCCTCCTGAGATAATTTCAATTATCTTTGCCATTGCGTCTGATGGAAAATCAAAGTTGCTCCCTATGATTAGAGTCCTTACGGTAGTTAGGGTACAATTTTTGGCTTCTCTCTCTGTTTTAGGTATCAGCACGATGCTGACCCTATTAGCCCTCAGCGCGGAGGTTGGGAGCTCCCTACCAAATGTGTCGTACATCCGTTCGAATGATGTCTGGTTTGTCGCCTGCACTGCGTTCATCATGCTCTCCCTCATTGAACTAGCTTTCATCAACTCACTGTGGAGGAAGAAGTAAGAATCCCTCATTTTTTAGTTTGCAACACTCAACTAACCCTCATGAGATCAGTTGCGAAATGGAGGGAACCAAGGGTGTCACTCCCCTAGATGACGTCATAAACCGAATTTTTCAAAGCGCGCTGTCTCGGTTACTAGTGAACATGGGAAGTTGCCGTTTGGACAGATCTTGTAATTTTTAACTAATGTACAAGAAACAAGCGTCAATTCCGAGTATGTGATCAGCGCAACTGACTCATTGTCCATGAGGAAATGTTGAATCGCCGCAAGTAAAAGTTTCCTCCTGTCGCCAAAAAGTTAAAATGAGGGTTTCAGATTGTGGTAAAGCGAGGAGTAATCATGAAAAAACTTGATTGTGTATCTAGAAAGACTGAGCATATTGGAGAAATACATCACCAAATTACTTTAAATATCCCTAACACGCATGTATTTTTATCTCTTCAGTTTACTCCCGGTGTTTTTGAAGAAACCCACCTCAAAATATATAATCAAGTCGTCACTATCACCGAAACGGGCCCACAGAAGACGATCTTTATCTGTGCCGAGCTCGCCAGAAATTCGACGAGGCAGTACCCTGAGTAGTCTCAATCAGTTTACAGTTAAAGTGAGTATTTGAATAACTTGTAGCGATATTCCGTTCTCTCGAGATCGCGAGCAATTCAACTNATTAGTCGGACACAATAGAACGAACGATACCTTGCTTCTACATAGTGCAAATTATTCTGATTTTCCAGCGCTCTTCCTATCTGGGACAGACTATAGTGCGAGGCTATTTGCTTTTCTTTCACTTTCCTGGGCAAAACTCTAATTGAACTGCACTTTGCAAGGATGAGCTAATATTTCTAACTAATTTTAGAGACAACGAGTATGCTATAAAATGTCTCTTGCATATGTGCTTTTATCGATGAACCAATAATTGCAATTTTTTCTTCAGAAAATATTCCCATTATCTGATGAGCCTTAGGACAGAAGCATATCGACGGTGAAACTACCAAACCACGTATCTCGGTTTGCGACGTCGCAGACTTCCTGTCATACTTTATTTTTTAAATGAAAAACTACTTAACGTCCAGTCTTGAAAATTTCTGTGATTTTTCCTCTTCGTGCGGAGAAAATTCCGTGAAAATTTCAAGGAATGATATTGATTTGGTCTACGTCAAAAAAATAAAATGCGAGCGTAGATTTTTAAACACCGCAAACGAGATACGTGGTTTGGTAGTTTCATCGTCGATATTAATTTTTACGGAGCTTAGAAATCGACAAAAGCTTGCCAAGCTTTAACATCGGCCAATTAATTTATTAAAGTAGGTATTCTGTGATAAATTGTAAATAGCAATTCTGAATATCTGATAATAAAGACGGTAAACATTATAAAAGTTAGTTGTAAATAGTTGAACTAATCAGGTTTGAGTAATGAACGCTTTGTCAGAAAGATTTTTTGGATAGGAAACACTCATTTGTAAGTTACGACAGATAAACTGTCTTCATTTAGAAAGCTATGCAATTCGCATTTGAGATGTCTCATAAGTTGCATCGGCCGAATAAGAAGGCGCTGCAAGTTAGTGGCTGGCTTCCCTGAGATTCTCTAAACAATCATTTTGTATCAAACGTTCACTAAAAATCTTTATCAAGACCAACGCAGTTCTCAGATCAGTTTTATCCCCTCTAAAATACTGTCTTTTTAAGTGTAAAAAAATGCATTTAAGCCTAAAGGGTCTTTTCTAAAGCTACTCTCTAAAAAACAATGTAGATGTTAGGAGGAGGTAAGAAATATGGAGGTTGCTAGAATAATTATTTCGAGTTCAAGGTCATAAAAACGTGAGATGGTCATAAAAACGTCATAAAAACGTCACATTTTATTAAATGCAGTTTTTTTTCTTTTCTTTTTTTTTACGATGACAATACCTACAGTGGCGTGGCGTGCTTTGCGATATATCGATTGTTAAACCATTAAAACCTATGGAAAAGGATCGATAGACAGGGTGTTCGCAGCGAACACCTTAATAATCGATTCTTTACCATAAGTCTAAATGGCAGAACGTTCGATACCTACATCGCAATTCACGCCACGCCACTGAATACCTATTTTCTCGGCCCGCAAGGGGAGGGAGAAAGAAAAATCTTTGGTCATTATGAACTGAGCGTTCGGTGTCCTATACCATCCTGCGATAAATCGATTGATTTGTCATTTAAACCTATGGAAAAGAATCCTTAGCTTCAAATGGAGAAATATCGATAATCGATTGTTCACACCACTGCCATACCATCCTAACTGCTCGGTCCGATAAACCGATGGTTGAGATTGTAAGAAACACACTTTTTATGTTTCAGAATGTGCTCATCCGTGGCACCGGGATACTATCTTTGTATTCAAATTTCTTTCCAATGTGCGTCTAAAACTTGTAACGAAAATCTCCGCTCTGAAAAGCATCATTGCTGATGAAAACTTGATGATTTCATGAAAAAATTGGCTATTTGCCTTGTTGCAGAGTTTGGAGGATTTGCCCTCTCTTTCTCAGATGTTCGAGCTGCGGGAACTGAGACGCACTGTTGACGAAGGTCCTCGTCCAGCGGAAAGGTTGAGCACCTCCTCCGAGCCTGAAATGTTGAGTTCAGCATCGGCCCCGAGTGTCTGTTCAACTACAATGACAACCCAAGACATTGCGCTCTGGATTGATAGGAAAAGCCGATTCGTCTTCCCATTCTTCTTCGTCTTATTTAACTTATTCTATTGGACTCTTATTCGTTATTAGCCGGCACCGTCGTACATACCTTATACGTACGCTCATTAGATATCAATTTTTATTCGTGTCAAGGGACTGCTTCTCAGCCGAAAATAAGTGGTCGCGCCCACGCATTCTTTCAGCCACATTATGCGTGTACGTTTGCCCGACCTTAATTTTCAGTCCTGCTATTTTACTTTCCTATAGATTCCGGGGTAAGTACCCGGAATTAATTCCGATTTCCAAAAGTTCCGAGAAAAATTCCAATTTTTTTCAACATCTCTGGGAAAAATTCCAGAATACGCCCGGATTTAGTTCCAAAGATCGTCAAATTTGATAAAAAGAAAAGGTCATCAAATTTGATTTTAAAAAAAGTATCAAACTCGGTCACATAATTGGTTTTCCCGAAATTCCGAGAAAATAGGAAATTTCGGGAATTTCGAAGATTCTGAATAACGTTAGAAAATCAGAATTTATTCCGGGCAACGCGCGGCTGCACTGTTAATTTTAAAAAATGTTCCTTCTAATATTTTGCACTCCCCACCCCATCAGCTGTTTCGAAATATACGGACCGCAAAAATCAAACTTCATGGCAACCCATGAATGGTTTGCGTATCGAGGGCTAAGAAGCAACACTGCTTAGCTGACAGTTTTAGCGAAAACGAGTTAGCATTTTTGCCGCATTCTACAGAATAAAATACTCAAGCTGATGCTCCTGCTTTTCCCCAGTTTCGCACGAGAGCGCTGTAATGGCGCTTTAATGTATTCAAAAACTGCAAACCACCTCAAAATTACAAAAGTTTTTTCATTACCCTGTAAAATCGTTAGTTTGCAGATAAGCGGTGCCATCGAATATATGGGCCGAAGAAAGATTCAATGACTCTCCTTGACAACGCCAGTGAAATCGACCATTGCCGCCAAAACCATAGATTAAAGAGACTAACGTCAACAGAAGCGCAAGCCACCGCCATTTTCATGTCAACGAAGCACAACGAAGGGAAGCTGTATCATAAGTACTGCTTACGTTCGCGGTAAGTCGACGTTTTGGAGAGGTCGAATAATGACGGATACATCCGTTTTAAAGAGTTGGAAGAGTTTTTTTAAAACTTATTTATCGTTTAACCGGAGAAGTACTGTGAATTTGCTTAAAATTTAATGCTTTTCCCCACTTTTATATTTGTAGGTAACCTGGAAATTGGTTTCCATAAGTACCAGATTGACCGACTCTGAGAAGAAAAATGTCAACATTGGTTCTTACAGAGCTTCGGCCTCTGTTGACGTAGTCTACTTATTCTATGCCAAAACTTGCTCGATAGCACGACGTTCTCCTCCATCTGGACACTTTCGATGCGGTTTTCCGGAACGTAACCTCTCAGATGAGAATGTGCGCCTTTTTCAATGCCAACTGAGAGAGGATTTTTAACAAATTTGAGGAGCCCGACTTTCTTGCTCTTGTTTTTGCTCGCCGTCGTCGGCGGATTCGTGCTGCTTTCGACGGCTCTCTCGCGCGTGGAATCGGCAGCGGTGGAGCACAACAGCCTGAGCTGCTTCGTCTGCCACGGGGCGCGCGACTCACCGTGCGACCTCATGAGCGACGCCGCCGACGCCGACGCCGACGCCGACGCCAGGGTGGCTACCGCGACCTGCCCCATCACCACGTTCTGCGGGGTCAAGTGCAGGCGCCGAAGACGCGTCATCCGCGGTTGCATGACCGAGCAACAGCAGGCCAACTGCACCGGAGACACCAACTGCAACATCTGCAACACCAATTTCTGCAACAACGCTCCCAGCCCGTGCAACAGGCTCCTGGATAACTTCTTCGACCTCTTCACGACGACGCCAGAACCGGAAAGTGGTGAGGATGTGACCAGTTACGTGGGCGATGATGAAATGATGGAGACGATCATCACAACAACCCGGATGAAACCCCTCAGTGTTGAATGAAATAAAGCCCAAGGTTTTGACCGTCCGGTATGTCTACTTCAATATGGATAACTGCCTTGCTGTGGAAAAACGCCGTATGAACCTTCAAGAGTCGCCAAATTTCCTTTGATAAAATATTTATTTTGGAGGAAAATTATGAACGTTTCTCCTTGAAATTTTCAGGAGTTTTAGATCAAATTAAAAACAAAATTATCTGAGAAATTGATAGACAAATATTCAATAATTTTCCTGAAAATTAGTGATTTGCCGGGGGAATGGCAACGCCTGAGGGCTCATACGGCGTTTTTCCTTTGCGCGGCAAATTACAAGAACCGCGTAAACGTGGGAATACATGCTCTTTGAAATGTAGATTGTAAACATCGTTTTTATTTAATGTAACAAAGAGGAACCGTATAGCTATACGATTGGTGTAAACTCGTACAACGAATGGCAACACAAGTGTGAACCTGAAGTATTGACCCATATATCGACGGTGAAACTACCAAACCACGTATCTCGTTTGCGGTGTTTAAAGATCTACGCTCACATTTTATTTTTTTGAAGTAGACCAAATCAATTTCATTCCTCGAAATTTTCACAGAATTTTCTTCGCACGAAGAGGAAAAATCACAGAAATTTTCTAGACTGGACGTTAAGTAGTTTTTCATTTAAAAAATAAAGTATGACAGGAAGTCTGCGACGTCGCAAACCGAGATACGTGGTTTGGTAGTTTCACCGTCGATATGTACTGAGTTAAGCAGAAAGGAACCAATCCACATTTTGGAAAAAATTGGGTTATGAGTGGTTTTGAACTCAACCACTGTTCTATACAATCTATCGCCAAAAATTCAAAGTTTTTGTTGGAGTAAATTTTGCAGAAATTGAACTGGAAGTTTATCTTTTACATTGAGTCTCATGCAGGAGCCAAACTTTAAACCTCTTTTTCTCGGTTCGATCCTGATGTGGCTTGGTTCCTTTCTGTTTAACTCCGTCCATATCTCCCAGTGCGTTAAGAAACTATTCTTCTTGAAGAAATAAACGTATAGACGATGTGTGACAGACCTCGGGGCAGCGTAATATGGGTTCGATCGTAGGCGGCTCACGCAGCTTGTATCTCATTTTTTTACCCAAGTTGTAGGAAGTAAAAAATGGTTTATGATTCAAGATGTGTCATTAAAGCTCAGAATGTATCATAGACGATTGTTCAGCCAATATGAATAAATTAAACTAACTATCCATAAAAAAGTTTATTACCTTAATCATGTAAAGACCTGCGGCCGCCAACCCCTGAAAGAAAATACTACACGTAGAAAATCGTAGAACTTCTTTGTTCAAATTATTAGCCTAGGAGATTAATTGATTCAAATGCTGACGGGTGCACGCGAAAAAAGCGTATTCATCCGTGATTGCAATATTATGCACCACTTTTTATGTTTTATTTTTTATCAATGCTTTTGAGAACTAAACACAGTTTTTCTGAGGAGCTTCCACGAATTTTCCAAGACGATTTCATAAATCAAAAGATATTTTCGATATTTTCGTTCGTTCTAATTCATTTTTCTAAATCAGGAAAAAATTTAACGTCATCCGAGTTTCTGATTTGCTGTAATATTTTCCCATAAGAGTCAATAACCGACTTTGGTGTCTCGCGAGCCAGGGATGGAAACGCGGTGGAGTCATGTTCGCAATGTGACGCGCCTTCAATCTTGCTAGCGGCAATATGCCTACACCCGAGGTCGAATAGTTGTATCGTTACGCCCGCCGTGAATGAATTCAAATATCGACGTCTGCTCGCGAAAACGATAGGCGTACTTCTCTCAGATTGCAACGTTACACGTCATCTCTCATGTTTTATTTTATTTCAGTGTTTTTTAAGAGGCTTTACGGTTTTCCTGGGAATTTTCCGAAATGATCTCAAATAAAATCATCGAAAATCTCCACGCGATATTTTCATTGGTTCTATTTTCTTTTTATGAAACCAAGCGAAAATTAAACATCCACCAGGGGTTTGAATCGTTGAAAATAAAATACATATTTTCCCTTTAATTAATTTAAAAACCGGGCAGACTCAAAAGCACCCGATTGATTTCAATAAAATCAAGGGAAATTTCGACGCGATGCTATCGTTCATTCTATTTTCTTAATTATTTTCATCAACCAAAAAAAATAAACGTCGTCCGAGATTTTGAATTGCCTTTGCAGTAGTTTAAAACTTCAAAACTCAAAAAAACTCTCGGGTCCAAAATTTCTTACAGTCTCTAGGGATTTGCAAGTCACTATCTTGAACACTTCGACTGTTATTATCAACATTAATATATGTGTAAAAATTAAGAAAGTAGAGAACAAATGCTGTATCATTTAAACTCTGTTGACTACCACTGATTTACAGAAAATATTTTTGACTTGCCCAGCAGGGCCGGATTTACCTACTTGCCGCCCATGGGCCGCCTGTATTTTGCCGCCCCCATCTCATTCGTTATGAAATATCAATAAAAACCATCAAGTGAACGTGCCGGAGGGAGAGGGATGCATAAGACGCGCTTACTCGTGTTGGATACATTTTTTGCGGAAGCCCTATCAACACTACTAGCAAAAATTCACGGAACTTGGCGCGAAAGTTAAGTTCCATAAACCTGTCTCTGTGTGGACAATGCCCTCCATTAATAAGAAATGAACGAAAAAATTATGAAAGAACAATCATAAATGTGGTTCAATAATTTTAACTTCCACCGCCGCACCGCGCCGGGCTGATCGCACTTTGATTGGCGCAATGCGTGAAGTATTCCTACACTCTTGTAGGCGCTATGCCTTTCACGCCGACCGCTGCTGAACGCACTGTGTTTGACGCAATGCGTGAAGTATTCATGCAGTCTTGTAGGCGCTATGCGTTACACGGCGACCGCTGCTGACCGCACTGTGTTTGACGCTATGCGTGAAGTATTCATGCAGTCTTGCAGGCGCTAATATGTGTTACATGCCGACCACCGCGCCGAGGGCCTCTCCTTTTCATCTCAATTCCTAGTCATCATTGCTCTCTGCGCCGCGCCGCTCCAGACCAAATTGCGTGTTTTGTTTCCCTCTCAACTAGACTAATAAAAGGGCAGCCAACCTTCTGACACAAAAATGTCACTGACAAAATTCAGATTCCAATGTCCGACCAAAACGACCAAGAATGTTCATAAGTGAGCGTTCTGACCAAATTGCGTGTTTGGTTTCTCTCATAACTCGACTAATTAAAGGTGATGTCTCTTGTATCACCGCAAAACGACAAAATTAGAAATTACGATACTCACAGGAAATGCAAGATTTTGTCGCCTTTTCCCGTTTGCAATTTTATTTTTATACTTGCATTTAAAAAAAAATCGCAAAATTTGCCGCCATGGGCCGCGGCCCATGTGGCCCTGTCGCCCCTTAATCCGGCCCTGTCGCCCAGAAATAATGTGAATAATATACTGTTTTATCCTTTTCTCCGAATTCTAAAACTAGAATCGCAATCCACGATTTGATAGTATTACTTATATTCTTTAGAAAAATGTATTCTCAGCATTGTAAAACGACAAAAGGGATGATTGTGTAAGTATATGAGTCATGCAGTGTCTGGTTAAATTTTCTCTTATTCGTATGGATTTTATTTGTTGAATTCTCTTAAAGAGAAAGGAGAAGGGAAGCGCGTTATTTCGAGCACAGTAACCGTAAAGCAAGGTAAGTTGCCTGAGCTACATCTGAGGGCGTTTCTAAAGGTTTTCAGAATTGCATCACAGGTATTTTTCGACAGTGAAACGTACCTATCTCGGTTTGCGACGTTGCAGATTTCCTGTTATACTTATATTTGAAATAGAAAACTACTTAACGTCAATTTTTTAAAACTTCCGTGATTTCTCTTCTTTATACGAGGAAAACTCTGTGAAAACTTCAAGGAATGATACTAATTGAAAAAAAAAAGAAAAAGAAATATTAAAATGGGAGCAAAGATTTTCAAACTCCGCAAACGAGATATGTGTCTGGTATAGTTTCACTGTCGTGATGTACTTGATACGTTCATTTAACTCTGATCAAAACACTTTCTTCCAAGTTCCAAGCATATTATTAATGGTACTCCTCAACTTCCACACCATATAATTTGGCAATTTCCTCTCAACGTTTTGATTTATGATCTTCGCACACACTCCTCCCAACAATAATCTCCACCGAATGGAAATATCCTAGGAGACAATTTCACAATTCTTGACTCGAACATCTTTTCCTGGAAAACCAAAATCAGAGAGACACATCGATGGTCTCTTTTCTCTTTTCTTCCTTTCTCCTATCATCTCTTCTTTCCGATCTCTTTTCTTCCTCTTATTCTCCTGGCTCTTTTCATTCTTTCATTTTCCTCTTGTGTTATCAAGTCTACAACCATTCCGCTGACGAGGACTGTCTGACTAATACATGGTGGATGATACCACTATTCGACCACAAGGGGAACTTATGTTGCCTAAACTAAAAATTGAAGGCAAACTAATATGACATTAAAGTAAACTCTTTTCATTTGGTAATAACTGCCTCAAAAGTAAAAAAATTATTTCTTTTTGTTTTCTTTCACTTTTATCAATGGATGTAATAAGGAGGACGGAAAAAATAAAAAGAGGGAATCGCAACAAATGCATTCTGAACCAATTTTTACTGTCAAAAACTTCTGGTAAAACCCAACCTTCAATAAAATTTTTTGCATGCTCACTAAAATTATGGACATTTAACAATTAAATTGAAAAGACAACAAGAAACAGTGCTAAAAAGCACCTTAGCAAGGTAATTTTTACAAATTTTTTGAAAGGTCATTGTGAAGTTTTAATATTTTTGTGGACATTAGCACATTTTTTAAAAAGACCAAGGGGGAAATTATCTACCTTACACATCCATCAAAATGCGTAAAATACTGACCGGATGAAAAAACACTGTAATAAGATAATATACATGAAACAACTTAAAATACAAATAGGTAGTTTGATTTAATTACTTATGAACACTTTAAATAACAAGTAAGTAAGTAGGGAACAAAGACTTACTACAAAGAATTGGTAAAATTTGACTGACTAAATTAAGTATTTGATTCGCTCGGCAGAGAGCAAAAATGACTGTTGATACCTTTTTATCATAAAAAGGTGAAATTGAAACTAAATTTAGCATTTAAAAGAGGGCACAATTTAAAAGGATAGTCTGCTCACGTAAAAATTATCTACAATTTAATGCACAACTGTGCTTAAGTAGAAGGTAATGGGAAGTAGTGAAAGAAAAAACTTTCGGGAATGCATCGCTGATTTCTGACTGGGCACTGCATCATACAGTTTATGTTCACTGCTTGACAAACTGCTGAGCTGCTTTTACAATGCTGGCAGCATCTATTCCAAACATGTTAAGCAACACTTTTGGAGGTCCAGAGCGAGGAATGGCAGCAACAGCTAATTTGTGGACGATAATATCACGTTCAAGGGCAACAGCTGATTGCACAGCCTCTCCTAGACCACCTAATTTGAACAACAAAGAAACAAACAAAAAATTAATAATGGTAACCAAAAATTGGGAGCAATGTGTGATAATTTATAAGTTCATGTGCAACGTTATCAAATGAGTGCAAAGAGAAAATAGAAGGTAGGTTGATATGTGAGATAATTTTCAAATCACTATTAAAATTTTTCGAAATGATCCTAGTAGCACAGCTTCTAAAATAATTTGTAAAGAAGTACGAAAGTGGTAATTTTTATGCGTACACAAGTATGGTTTGAACATTGTGCATGGTAAAGTCATAAATTACTACATTTCAGGAATTTTGCGAGAACAATTTGTGAATATGAAGCAATAATAAATTGAAGGAAAGAACTAAAAGGTTTTCACTTTTTTTTTAATTTTTATGAAAACTACTCGATGGTACCTTTTACACTTCTGAATGGTATCTTCTCTACTACTCTATCTAGTCTGGTTTGATGCGTTTTCCACTGGTTTTAGAAATCATTTTTTTTCTTTTTTGTTATTTTTTTGCCTTCATGCTAGGAAAGTAGTAAGATGAGTATTCAAATACAGAAACACAGAGGAGTCATTGGGAGTCTACAACTGATAAAAAGAATTGAGAGACCATGCATATTTTGTAAAAATAAGTTCCTTGACTCAACTTTCAAATTCTTTTTTTCGAGATTTTTATTCTAATATTTTTTGTTGCGACTTTGTTGGAGCTTATCTTCAATTTGAAAAATTAACAAGTGCATGCAAGAGAAAAAGGGATGGCAAAAATTATCAGAGGGCATTATTAGACATTTCTATAGGTAGGAGAATTATCTAATGGAACTTCAGTAGAGCCACTTCCTTCATTATGATTCTTCATCCATGTTCCAACATTTACAAACAGAATTACTCTCAACCAAGCGATTACTTACTGTAAATCCGGCTCCTCTGTTTGATCAACCAAGGGATATCTAAAAAATTCTTCTGATACCATCCATATTGCAGGATCAAAACTCTACAAAAGCATGTACTCTCAGATTTTTTATGCTTTAAATTTTTCTTACAAATATAATAGCATTAATAAGCCAGGATTTACCAACCTTGCGAGTAATGATCCTCTACAGTGATGATACGACCACCAGCCTGCTTGGCATTAGTAATGATAGTTGCAGCATCGATTGGTTTGATTGTGAATGGATCGATGACTCGTGCATGGATTCCAGCCTTGGCAAGCTCGTCAGCAGCAGCAAGAGCTTCATATAGGGTTACTCCAGCACCGATAATCAGAAGTTGGTCATTGGCACTTTGTTTCACAACCTTTGCTTGGCCAATCTGCAACAGGTAATTAAAAATAAAAATAATTAAAAGTTTAAATACTTAGGGACATTTTAATAAGCCTCCTCTTACCCACTTCAGCTAAAGGTTATTTTTTATACAAAATAATGATTCTTCCTACCTAGAGATAAAAATTGTGTTAAGGCAGAGCAGTGGCAGAAGCAGAGTGGTAAAGATAAAAGTTGGGTGAAAATGTGGAAAAAGTACCTGCAATTTCCATTAATTTCAACTTTTCTGCTTGACAAGAGGTTTCCTTCAGTAAAGGTAACTGTGAGAGCAGTTTTAAATACCTGATTTGATAAGCTGACCCGAATATTATCCATTTTTTGGGCACATTCCCTCTCAAATGCTCTTTGGAAAAATATCTTACCTTGAATGGTTCTTCATTCTTGTAGATAACAGCAGTCTCAGGGCGAGAAGTACGGATGAAACAGATTCCTTTTGTGTTGGCTGCCAACTCAACTGCTCTTTCAGTACTGACAGCATCACTTGGGTAAAATACGGTTGAACCTGGAGGAAATAAGATTTATACTGTATTAAATCAAGGCACCTTATTCACGTTTAGAACATAAAAATTTGAAATGAAACATAATCATAAGCTCTTACTTATTTGAAAATCAAGTAAATTAAGTACCTATTTGTTTAAAAGAAAATTAACATCACTTATTCAGTCATTCTTGGAGTAATTAGAGTTAACAATTTAAACTGTATCACAAATATTTCAAATTGAGTAAATATTATAATTGCTTGTGAGAAAAAAACACTAAGAAGTGGCCCGAACTGTATGTAACACGGTGGAGAAATGATGCTGGGTCCACACCATTTCACGTGGAAAACAGCCAAGAAAATCCAAAAAATATAATTAAGAGTCAAAAGTAGATTCACTGACGAGTGTGATCTGCTGATGAGGTCTAAAAAGACCCAAACCGGTATAGATTTCTCGGCATGACTCCATAACTTAATATTCCAATGCAAACTGCCTGAGCTGAACACTCCTCCCCCCCCTCTCAGTTTCGTACTGGTACTCATTGGAGTTAAAAAAATTTATTTTTGACTCTAAATATAATTTTAGGAACTTCTTGGCTTTTTTTCCCTGCTAAATGCTGTGGACCCAGTACCATTTCTCCACCTTGTTATCATTACTTACAGAGGGTGAAAATAGTTGGTGGATTTACTTAAAGATATTTTTAAGAAGTAAAAAATATTTCATGAAAATTTTAATTGAAGAAATGGAATTAAGTGCCATCATATTGCCAAGATAAAGTTGAACACTCCATTTGTACCATGAATACATACAACAGTACAATTTACGTACAATGGTAGACTGAAGAGAACTTGATTGGTGGGTTACCTGGAATAGCACGGAACATGGCAATATCCTCAAGAGCCATCTGACTTGGTCCATCTTCACCAATACTGACACCACAGTGAGATCCAGCAAAGTTAACATTCGTTTGAGAAATTGCACCCATACGAATCTAAAAAATACAAGAAGCTAACTTTGAAATATCAGAGTCCATTTTTAGCAAAAATTATGATCAAATGAAATTAAATGAAACAAGAAAAATCAATTTAGGGGATTTGAATGGAGGGAAAAAATGATATGAAAAAAACTTGTACTTGTACTTGTACTGAAAACATTCTTGACTAGTGCTTTTGCTGAAACAGTGGAGCGAAATTAATCAATAAAAGTAATTACTCACCTGATCAAAAGCTCTGGTGAAGAAAGTTGCAAAAGTGGAAACAAAAGCTACAGTACGGTCACGGCATGCACAGCCAATAGCGACACCAACAAGATTTTGCTCAGCGATGAAGCATTCAATGTATTGTTCCGGGTGGGCCTGAGAAAGGAAAAATGAATTATTATGAAGTAACAAGGTCAGCATTTGGCAAAGAATAAAAGATAAAATTTACAGCAATTTGAGTCTCCTTCAAAAACCATTTTTGAGAATCTTTAAAATTTAACACTCCTTTTACTCATCACTGACTGGTGTAAGGAGCAAATAATTTAGGCAAAAAATAATAGGAATAATTCATTCATGTCAAAAGTTTACAAAAATTATTCAGACTTTTATTGAAAATATTCAATAATTATATTCAGAGGAACTTTCAATTTTTTCAGGCATTTACAGTTCTGATGTAAAACATGTTGGACATGTCACCAAATGCAGTAACTAAACAACAAAAAATTTGCAAAATGAAAAAGCTACTAAGCAGGTGCTCAATTTTTTGAAAAAAATTGGACTGGAAATAAAATTCAGTTCAGAAGTTATGTGTTCCTATTCATTCATTTTCGTATTACTACAGGTACTGGTACCCATGACTAAGCGAAAAATGATCAAAATACTAAGTTGATGCTGAACAACAGATGTACCTAAATACCACTACTTTGGTTTTATATAATTGTATATTTGTTTTCTATTGACAAAAGAAAAACTTTCTGTCAGTTGCACTCCAAAGTAAAAAGCTTCTATTTAGATGGTTGATAAAGAAGGAGATGATGAGAACTATTTCTCTGAGGCAGTAAAAAATCTAAATGCTAATAAAAAATAACAATCTTATGACATTGATTAAATTGAGGTATTGATGATTCCACTGGGTTTCATTTCTTAGATATAGATCAATACTGTAGTTTTACCTTTTTCAATTTGTCGGAGAAAGTTGAATTTTTGGTGTCCCCATCAAGAGCAATAACTCGATGGTTGCTGCTGCCAATCTTGGCCAAAGCAGTACCATAGGCAAGACGTGTCGCAACATTTTCTCCTAATTTGTAACTGGGTGGTGCGGATAGTTTGATATTGCTTATACTGATTTTTGGTGCATCTTCAACCAGCTCCTTGGCAGTATTGATCTTGAATGGGCCTTTGTTTTTGATCAGATTTTTGAGGTGCTGAAAAACATGATTTGATTTTCATTAGAGGCAGAAAAATGATATAATTTAACAGTAAGTACATGGAGCAAAAACAAAACATCCTCCATGATACAGATGTAACTCTCCTAATTTTTCAGCACAAAAGATTCATAACAAGTACCTTATAGAACTCAGGCTTCAGTCACCTTCTTTCCAGGTTTTCAAGGGAAGAGAAAGCGAAACAAAACACTGAAATATAATGCTTCTCTTTTGAAACACACCACTAAGTATAAAATGAAGAAGAAAAAAAATCAAGATTTAGAGGAGGTCATTGCATTCTTACAGTGCATAGAGAGTGACTTGCGATTTGATTTTAGGCGAGAGTTTTGATTTCCCCTCCTTTCTTTTTAATTTTTATAAGTTGGACTTAGGTGTGACACAGCAATTATTTTTAGAGGTAACTAAGTACTAAAAAGCTACAGAAAATAATAAAGTACAGAAACTGAGTTTGGAATTTTACCTCAACAACAGCATTGGACTTGTCTCCCAAAGGCTTTCCATGCCAATTTTCTAAATCTTCAATGTCTGGGAAATTCTTTCCTTTGAATGTTTTTGCAAGAATGGCGGTTGGCTTGTTCTTAGAGACTGAAGCTTCATGGAATGCCTGAAAAAGAAAATTAAATTGACAACGGAAAGAAAAATTCAACGTCACATCACACATTGCACACAAATTAATAATGTAGTCCCAGATACTGAGAAATAAACGAGAGCATGAATATGGTACAACAAACTTCGGTTTCTATATCCATTTTTTTAGATGTTTTAATTTCATCATCTCTGAAGTTCAGAAACTGAGTAAGCTTTTTGATCAATGATCTGTCTGATTCTTGATTCTACTGAGCATGATGTTGTTTACTTCGTTCCTTATCAGTTCGATTTTCTGTCAAAGGATGCTATTGATTTTAAAAGAATTAGGGTGCTAGTATACTTTAGCTTTTTAAATTATTTCCAAAACACACCCTCTTTCTTCAAAATTCATAAAAGAAGCAAACATACTTTTTTAGTTTTTCATGAGGCACTTTATTTTAGTAGATTTTTTCACCAAATTCACGGTTACCTTCTTACCTATTTTGTTAAAGTAACTTCAGAGAAGGTCATCCCCCCCCCCCCAAGGTTTTGGTAAATAACGCCACTGTTTAAGTTTAAGATATTTTTGACAAAATACATTTTTTTAGATTGGTAGGTATTTTTCATTTTGAAATATGGGAATGCAAACTTTTTCATATTTTATCAAGATATTTTCTCAAATTTGATGTAAAAAAAATCATTACCTAATATTTTAATATTAGGCTAAACCCATCCGATTTTGCATCATTGACTACTTTTCAGCAAATTCATTCTCTACCTATTGGAGATGAGTATAATTTAAGAATAATAAAAGAGTCCATACCTTGACTAATTCTTCAACATCGTGTCCATCAACAACAATGGCATTGAAACCAAAAGCCTCAGCTCGCTTCCTGTAGGCTTCCATGTTGTGACCCAGTGATGCAGCCTCTGACTGACCCAATCGGTTGACATCAAAAATTGCACAGAGGTTATCTAATTTGTAGTAGGATGCAAAATGCATTGCTTCCCAGATGGATCCTTCTGCACTCTCTCCGTCTCCAATCAGACAGTAAACCCTGCGAAAGAAAGAATTTTAAGGTGCGGAAAGGAAAGTTTAGATGAAAATGGAAGAAATTGCCTTGCAGTGACTGCAATTGCATGTTCAACATTTTCCAGTGGTACAGCAAGAGGAGGGGAAGATATCAAATATCCATTTTACAGAAAGTTTTAGTATGGTGCAGCCACAAATTGTCACCCTAGTAGCAACTACTGTTAAAAAACTTTTAAAAAACTCCCAAGTTTAAAAAAAAAAACTCTTAAAAAACTAGACATTTTAAAATGTTCGTTTTTAGGAACTTTCTTGAGGCATTTTTTCAAGTAAAATTCAAGAGAGGTGAACTTTAAGTAAAAAGTATTGAAAAAGTCATTTCATTTTAATTCATAAAATGATAGGTTCTAGGTAGCAGTAGCCTCAAGTGAACAAATACATAAGTGTGTGCTGCCGTGTTAAGGAAAAACGCTGTATGAGCCTTAAGGCGTTGCCACATTTCCTTTGATGAAACGTAAATTTCCTGGTAAATTTGTGATTATTTACCTCCCAACTTTCCAGATAATTCAGTTCACAATTTATCCTACAGATTCTGAAAATAGAAAGGAAAAATATTCATAACTTTCCTAAAAAATAAAAAATTTATCGAAGGAAATTTGACAACTCTCGAATGTTTATACGGCGTCCTTCCTTAGCACGACAGTGTGCCCGCCGGTAAGTATGTTAAAACATGTATACCTGTAGGAAGCCTTGTCGAAGTATTTGCCAACATAGGCCATTCCACAAGCGACAGAAAGACCCTGTCCGAGGGAACCAGTGCCGACATCAATGAAGTTCAGTCTGGGCGTCGGATGACCCTCCAAATCAGAATCGATCTTCCGCAAATTCTTCAGGTCGCTCACTGGAAAAAGACCGGCTTCCGCCCAAGCTGAAATCAAAGAAAAAAGTGTAGGTAATTTATGGGTCACTAAACCTTGAATTCTATATTTAGTATTCTAAAACTAAAACCAGGTGAGTTGATTACGTGGTGATTCATTGCGTATTTTTGGAGGCAAAATCCCGAACAAGCTCGTCTTTAAGATTCCAAAGAATCGAAGGAATTTCAAAGGCGCCGGAATGGCGGGAACATGATGAAAATGATGTACTACGGCCAGGCTCGGACTGGTCATGAGGCCAATCTGCCATTGGCAGATACGCCCCCTTGGCGCGCCGAAAACGCGCCCCACTGACAGATAGCAAAATAAGAAGAGAAAAAAAATTACGACCGAGAATATGTGGAAAATTATTTTAATGAACGGAAGAAGAGAGAGCTAGGAGTGAAGAAAGGTGTTTTTAAGCATGATAGTCGTGAACAGAGGTCCAAGAACTACTTTCTGAAGCGTAAACTCTTGTCTGTAAAATGTTCACATTTTTGTTGACATACAGGCGCTTTATTATCCCCCTCCTTTATTCGCTATGTGTAACTCCCTTAGAGGCGATGGTCGGTTCGATTTTTAGACCTACGCACCCTTTTTAGACTTCTTGAGAGACCTTTAAACACATTTCTTCCTTTTAAGAATGACTATTTATTTGGACATGCCATAGCATGCATATCTCAGGCAAACTTAACCTTAATTTATCTCGAGATTCAAAAATAAGAGACATCTAAGGTGTAAACGCGATACAACTATTCGCGCAACAAGGATGTCCACATTGCATTGCATATGAGATATGTAAGACGCGATGGCGTGAGTCATGAACTAGCTATACTCTACTCCATGCTACTAGTTTGAAGCACCATTACGAATAAAACAAACGCAAACGAACACAATATGGAAGTAAAGCGAGGGAAAGGATGCGCGTCAACGACGGCGCAGAGATACAACTATTCGTACTTGATGGACGTCCGTGCTGCATCTGAAAAATTGAAGGCGCGATGACGCGAAGCGTGAGTTCTCAATGCTCTGGTTTAGGCTGTCAATGAGGTGTTTCGGAAGAAAAGTTAAAAAAGAGGCCCGAATACGTCTTTCTTGTCATCGGCTGTGTTGATACTCGTTCTTTCTTCTTTTTTCAGGTTCTTGCCTGATTCTTTTTAAGGATGGATTTTTAGACCCACGTCTTAAGCTCGTGTAAACCGCAGCACTGACACGGTTCTTGAGGAAATAATGGTGCTTGGATGCGTCCAGTGGTTTTAATTTTTTTTTGTTTTCTTCAATTTCAGAAGTCTGTCGGTCACTTCAATGCGTTCAATTTTACAATTTTTACTCTGTTAGATTAATAAACTTTGAACCTGAAAATAGCGTAAACTTGTGCTGCTTTGCCAAAATTTTCTGAGCCCCTCTCCAGGTAGGGGATTCCCTATCATGAAATATCACATTACGCCCCTTTAACCAGCCAAGGGTCTACGCTCTCAGATGCGAGCCAGTCCAGGAAGCGTAGCCCCCTAGTGGAAGTAATAGCCACAACTACATATGCTATCACCGCTATTCTCCTTGCGAAAACTGAGGTTGAGTAATGGACCACTATACAAGGCACGAATTTTAGCATTCTGATACATGTTTCATGACCAAAATTTCACGTAAAACACGATGCGCACAACGCAAATTACTGAAATCAACTCCTTACAAAGATATTTAATGATTCTTGATGCGTGAATTCAAACCACCCGCTCATGAAAACTCAATGCTCTACGTGATTCACATCGCGCGCTAAACGTTATCATGAACGTCTCTGCGATTTAAAAATCTGGCAACCTCTATCTTGACACTTTGGCTCAGCCATAGCAAATTACTTATAATTTGAAAAACATATGGTGGAAAATGAGCATTGCTCGATTGAGAAGCTTGCTGAAATCGTTGTAGTGCGCGATTAGACTCACGTAGAGCTTTGAGTTTCTTGTGAGCGGGCAGTTCAAATTCCTCGTAACCAATGTGAAATAAAAACGTTAATATCTTCGTTAAGAGTTGATTTCAGTAATTTTCGGTGCAAGAATCGTGCTTTACGTGAAGTTCTGGTCAAGAAACGGGTATTAGAATCCTTTAACTCGTACCTTGTCTAGAGGTCCATTGGGCTAAAACGTACCGGCATACAAGATGGGGGCGGCATGGCCCTTTGAAAGAACGAAGCGATCGTTTGAAGCGTCCCTGGGCTCAGATAATTTGTACTTCATCGTGTGGAAGAACAGGACGGACATGATCTCTGCCATCGAGGAACATGATGTGGGATGTCTGTAACAAAAAAAAAAAAAAAAAAAAAAAAATGAAAAGACGATTAGAATGTAACGGTGCAGGATGATGGAAAACACTTGGATTTGAAGAACGCCAGGGTGTCTACTAAAGCTGACTGGTAAAAAAATCAGTACTTATTCAGTGATGTTTCAGTATATTTTCCCAAAAAATTCAGAACTTTTTTTTTTTTTTTTTTTTTTTTTTTTTTTTTTTTTTTTTATTTATTTATTTTTTATTTATTAAACATATCAACTTCTGTACAGAAATAAGATATTTAGATGTAACTTAAAAATAAATAACGGTTATCGACTGAAAATATATACAATTATACAGACTTTTTCCTAACTTGGATGCCCTGGGACGAGCATCGCAGAGCCCATAGAGAACGGTATAGTTCCCGGTATCTGCGGGTATAGTTCCCGGTATCTGCGGGAAATTCAGAACTTGAGCAGTAAAAAAATTCAGTACTTCGTCAGTAAGTGCTTTAATGTGAGGAAATTCGAAAAAATTCGAAATTCACGCGCAAAGCAACATAATTACATTGCCAGGAAATTCGAAGCTCAGTGGTAGCCTGAGGATGAGCTGACTGCAAAATCGTGACCAGCGGGAAAATACTGGACCAAGAATCAATGCGATGCGATCAAGGGATTGTATACTTTCCAGGCTGTTTTAAAAAACACGCGAGGCATGAAGCAAAAACCCCCGGATCTTTATGCAGAATTTCCATACTCTTTAGTACTTCTAGACTACCTTCAAAAAATCGGTACTACCCCCGGATTTTCCGGACCAATAGACACTCTAGACGCACATGCAAGCAGTTAATTTATCTGCGGATGTGAAATCTTTTTGAAAATGCCTGATGCATGGAGATGTCAATGTATGCCGAGAGCAACTTAAAATTCTGACCGTGGTACAAATTTTAATTGTGATAAATTTTAAACCCCAGATAACATGAAATAAAAATGATGGGGACCCTCGGAGAGGCGCTCATGTTTTGACCATTTTATGGGTGATGGCAGGCGCACGATCAACAACTACCAAAACAATGTGCAGCTGAATATTTCTCCATACTGATATTCCAAGATTTGAATGAAATTCAAACAGACAAACATTAAAGCTAAGGATAGTATGCGTACACGTAGAATTTTGCAAATATGATCCTTCCACGTTTACAAGGAGACTTAAACGCACGGCAATAAAAAAGTTCTAGTCGCCAACGAGTCATTACATCTAAATTCGCATGAGAGTAAAATTCCGTTAAACCTAGAACCTAAGAACCTGTTTCACCCTCCACCTTCTAATCCACGGCATTTGTAAATTTGTGAGAAGCTGAGGTGACACACGGACAAAAACTATCCTATCGTGCGGCACGCACGAAATCTTAGGTCAGAAAATTCAGTCTCATTTTAGAAAGCTACTTTCAGAAATTTCGTCGTCAAATTGTGACGAGAAAGTATGTAATAGCTTTCAATGCGATCATGATCAGTTTTGAGAAAGTTGTTCCAACTTTTGAGAGTTGAGCATCTTGAAAATAATTATCATACAAAGCAAGATACTGAGAGTCACGCGTCAATATTGACTTCGGCAAGCTGAGATAACAGATAATGAGCCCTGCCGTAGATGAGGTTCAAGGTAAGAAAAATACTTCATCAAACTTGTAAAGTACTTGAGCAAGCAACGGTATTTCAAGTATGAAACACAGCTGTATACATCAGATTATCGGTACATTTTTAGGCAGGTTGTTAAGGCCGAAATTGAAAACCTTTCCGCAGTCTAAATTCTATAACTATTAAGATAAGGTAGAGTAAGTAATTTACACTAGCAATTAGGCTTTTTTTGATAATGGCTGTTTCGAGCGATTATCAAAATGATTATGCGATCCGCTTCCGTCTACAATGTACCGACTTTTTGTCAAATTATGACTGCAACGAGAGAAAAATGCCACTTTTTTACAAATTATGACCGGACGATGATGAAAGAAAGATAAGTAAGTATTTCGGCTGCTTCACAGCAAAAGAATGCCCGTTTTTGGTTGAGACAACACATTTTTGTAACTGAACAGGGATGGAAAAAATAAGATGGTCTTTTTTTTGATTAGCCACAGTTGATAACACTGACACATCAAAAATCTTTGCTCTTTAAAAAGATTAGAATCTTAACTCCACCTGTTGGTCCTATAAGCACGACTTCAACGTTTAAATTCTTAGCCTGGGGCTGTGCGTTAATTTCAACCCTTAGAGATTAATGGAATTTTACGATGAACTACTCCATTTAAAACACGGAAACAGCCATCATTAATAAGTACCAGTATTTAATCATAAGAAAACACTCTACATAATCCAATTTTGAGCTAGAATTATTCTGAATAAATCTCCATCTAATTTTCACGTGTTGATTTTCACGCATTGACTTGTGACAATGACTACTTTTTGCTACAAAACCTACAAAGCTGCAACATGGCTAATCCGTAGCTGATGAACTTCTTGGACTAGGACAATGCATGCACTTGAACTTCAGGAATGACAAAAAAAAAAGTTTACGATCTACATAATAATAATCCATGCATAACGTCAGATGGCAATATAGAATCAAGAGACTTTCCATAAACTACATATTACTATCACTCCTTGTTGACAACGCTGCATAGTCATTCAAGTGAGATAATCGAGACTGCGTTATCTTCGCGTACCGCCAGAAGGTACTGTTTGCAAAGCTTTCAAGAATTTATGAGAGCTCTTATGCCCTCCTAAGGAAAAACGTCGTATGAGCATCCGACTGTTGCCAAATTTCCTCAAATAAAACATCCATTTTTAAGAAATTTATGAATTCTCTTCTCTCAATTTCCCGGACACTGTAGACTGAATTGCCAATTGGACTCTCTAAAAAATTGGGAGAGAAACATCTGCAAGTTTCCTTGAAAGTCGTAATTCATCAGAGGAAATTTGGCAACGCCTGTACACGGAGAAAAAAACTTCGTGCGTGGGACCCGAAGTTTAGGTCATATGGATCTCTGAAGTTTTCGGATTGAGCATCTGAACACTTAAGGTCTAGCTGCCGAAGTTCAGGTCTGACATCTGAAACTTCAGTTCTTACATCTGAAATACTTCAGATGTGAGAACCGAAGTTTTTCGGATGTGAAAACCAAAGTACTTTGGATGCGAGAACTGAAGTTTCAGATGTGTGATCCGAACCTCGACAGCCGGACCTTGAGTGTTCAGGTGCTCAATCTGAAAACTTCAGAGATCCATATGACCTAAACTTCGGGTCTCACGCACGAGGTTTTTCTCTCCGTGTAGGTTCATACAGCGTTTTTACTTAACACGGCAGTGTTTGAGTGAATACACCTTCCATACCCTCACGAGCCTCTTCGTTCAATATATCAATCGACTCTCATTATTAAGACCTAAGCCACAAACTTATATCCGAAGTTTCGATATGAATGCACGTCGTAAACGAGGATTAAAATCGATAGAATGTCATCCCTCTTCCGATGGCCCGCGATATTCTTGGCTTCGATATAAATGCACATGATAAATGGGATTGGTATCGACAGAATGCCACTCTTTTTCCGATCGATCGCTCATGTGCGCTGTCGCAGGGTCATTATGGCATAAAATTAAACCGAGGGCTGTGTTGGTTTCGCATGCTCTCCGAGCTTTCAGATTATTCCAGAAAAGATAAACAAGGCAATTAGCTCGGTTATCTGCACTGAGAATTTATCTTTGCGCAGAGATGTTGAGATGTATGTTAACTAAAAAAAGGGAAAAAACTGATGAGAAAACTTGTTATTGCAGAGCTTCATATGGACGTATTTCTATCAAACGGAACTATTTGCATTAATATATAAGCCCTGCGATACATAAGACTAAATGCATAACAAGGCTTACGTCATATTGCACATAGTTCCGTTTGGCAGAAATGCGTTCATATGCGAGTTACGTTAACCTGTTGATTCATAGGAATACACCACTTGAGGCACTATTTCATTCATTGAATCACTTGGCCGCGAAGTGTTGAAAACCGAATCTTTCTGTGTGTTCCCTGCATTGAATCAATATACCTAGCGTATCAATTGAATAGACAAAGTAAACAAAGAGCAAATGGAGCGATCCTATTAGTGAGACGGGAGAGGTTGTTATGAACTTTGAGGAGGGGGGATGAACTAATACTAAGGGTTGCCAATCGGTCACCACCACCTTTATCCATTGCAACCACCCGCTTCCACCGATATGATGGATGGCTCCATTTTCTCTTTGCCTTCTACGTCTAAGTACCGCTTTAGCCTGCAAAAATGTTTAGCTTTAGTTATTTCACCAAAAGGGAAAAACATTGAGGTAGTTGAGCATCACAGAATCTCAAAATCAACATGCCTTTTTCTAAACATGTACGTTTTGTGCGCAAAAGATACGCTGTCTTACACATATTATTTCACGGCCAAAGATGAACATGTTTTGCGTTCCATCATTTAATGGTGAACGGTATTTCTTTCTTCTTACTGTAATTATTTGTCTTTACTTTCAATTTGTCTAGAACGACAAGAAACCTTGCACCTTTCAAAGATCTCAAGGTTTGGCTTTGGTGCTCACACCGTCGGTCTATTGTATAAACTTACAAATTTCAGTTAAATGTACTGAAACAAATTCTACGGAGTGAAGCACATACGACAAAAAGTCGCCGGAAAGGAGTCAAATAATTATGACAACGAGGGAGAATTGGTTAATTGATTGACTGATAGATCGGTCGATTGATTTTGATTCATGACCGCTATTCAGGCCTCTGTCTTAGAAAAACTCAATTGTTTTTTACTCCTTTTCGCACGACTGCAAATACCTACTTAAACCGTTCACGACGAGATCTAATATTCTCAGGTATGCCGAAGTGACACGGGACTTTTGGCTAAACCACCATAATTACCTAGGTGTCTTCCCATCACACACTTCTTTCATACGAACATTACATTACTCATGTCCTTTTTTGGAGGAAATTCCCAACTTTACCTG